CTACTAGTAACAGGTGCCTTACTAGTAGTAACAAGAAGCTACTAGGAACAAGTGCATCGCTTCTAGTAACAGGTGCCTTACTAGTAGTAACAAGAAGCTATTAGAAAGAAGTGCCTTACTAGTAGTAACAGGTGCCTTACTATAGAAAATCCAATAGCCTGGTTCACGGACGTGCCACGGCAGTGTAACATACTGCGGCCTCGTCATCACTCATCTTGTGCAATAGGTTCGCCAAAGCACCACCAGCTGTAGTGTAAATGACCTGGCCAGTGCAGAAGTGGCGCACTAGCGTCAAGAGGCGCTGCTGAAAAGCCTACCATCCTTTCCTTTAGGGCAACAGCCTCCAACCTAGAAGCAATGGCCTCGAATCTACTAGCGATGGCCTCCAAACCTAAAGAGCCTGGTGAACTGACGCATTCGTCCATTTAGGGACTTAGGGATAGCACGGCATTCGTCCTTTGTGGCCTTCTCAAGACATGTCAGTGAGGCAGAACCTGGAATGCAACTCACAGACGTGGCCGCAATGAACGTCCTCGCATCGAGCGTCAAAAAGGCACCATGTTCTACTAGCGATGGCCTCAGGCTGTGCGAGTCTCTCACCTACAAAAACTGGATTTCGGGCGGGATTGTTCACGTGAGAAGAAAATGCATTTCCCGACTGTGGCCAGTGGCGTCAGCTGGCAATTCCGAAAGTCCTGTCTTATCCGTCTTTGATTAGCTCATGATGCTCTCACCAGATCGAACAGTCGCATCATTCGCATGAAAAAACATTGCGGTGCGCACGCCGCCCACGCCGTCCATGCGTTTCGTATTCTTTGTTCTTCTTGAGCTAAGGGCTGCGTAATTGAGAGCTGTGAATGCGCTTGAGTGATCCATTTTGAGCTGGGATCCCCTCTCACTGGAGGCCAGCGCCCTTAGGTTGGAGGCCATCGCTAGTAGGTTGAATTGAACCTAGGCTCTTAGCCTCACAGGACCGCCCTTCTTTTGTTAAGACTTTCAACCCAGGCTCGCGAGCGAAGGTTGCACAGAAGATGGCCTCCAACCTAAGAGCGATGGCCTCCAACCTAATGGGAATGGCCTCCAACCCAATAGGAATGGTGGCCTCAAACTTACTAGCGATAGCCTCCAACCTAACAGTTCATGTTCACCCTTCCCACTTGTCACCCGTGTGGAGGGTGAAGAAGCAGCTCGATTCAAACAGGCGCCGTCCTTGAAGACTCACCTTCACAAACCCCCTTACTACTAGGAGCAAGGACGCTACTAGGAACAAAGGACATCGCTACTAGGAGCAAGGACGCTACTAGGGGCTCCTGGCCTTACT